TTTCTCATTAATTGACTGATAAATAAAACAATAAGTCGTCGAGAGCTGAGAGTCAGCTGTCGGCGGCTCTGTTTTTCCAGACGAAGATGAAGATTTTTCATTACTTAATGGTGATTTATCTTATCACACGTCATAAAAAGCTTTTATGGACTCAAATCACGCGGCAGTCATAAGCCGAATAAGTTGACTGAATAAATTTCGCTTATTTTTGAGACCGTTCCATGTTCTTGTTAAGTCGAATTTTCGAAAATGAGCGCAATTTGTTGGCCGGATATTCTAGACGTTCGCTAAAACCATAACAAGTTTTTATATTTCCATGCACTTCTACCCTACTTTGGCGAGTCTTAATAAAAACATCGTGGGGAAGAAACTGGAATTTTGCGCTGAGCCGAGATAGAGCTATTTTTGATAATCTGTGTTGATAAAAACGGGCGTTTGAGCGCTGGTGCGATTTTCGCTCGGAAAAATATTATTTTGCCATAATTGAAAAAAACAAGGTGGTTTCGATTACTTTTGGACTAAGATAGATTCTCGGGCCAAGTTTAAAGAAATCGATTTTTCGACCCGAAACGCACCGGATCGCTTTTAGAGAGACTGCGTCTTAAGACGATATAAGATATTAACTCTTTATAAGAACAAAGCACATAAGTTTTATTTTTTTAACGGTTATTTTCACTAAAATTTGTTTTTTGTTTGACACCCACTTTGACGCTATCATCATGACCTGAAATATGCAACTTTTTATCTCGGCTCAGCGCAAAATTCCAGTTTCTTCCCACGATGTTTTTATTAAAATTAACTAAAATAGGATAGAAGAGCGTGGGAATATAAACATATGTTGTGGTTTCGGCGAACTTCTAGAATAGCAGGCCAACAAATTGCGTGCATTTTCGAAAATTCGACCTAACGATGCACATGGAGCGGTCTAAAATATAAACGAAACTTATACGGACAACTTATGTTTGACGAGTGATTTGAGTCCATAAAAGCTCTTTTAAGACTCGCAATAGGATAAAACATCATTAAGTAAAGAAAAGTCTTCATCTAGAAAAATACAGCCGCCGAAAGTTGACTCTTATCTATAGGCGATCTGTTATTTTGGTTTTCAGTCAGTTAACGAGGAAGGGGAAAAACTTCAGAGGCAGGATAGCTATGACAAGATTCGGGTTTATTCAGAATATTTTATGTTGTTCATTGGGAAACTGCTCAACTTAACAGCACTTAAAGTACAGTCCTTTTAATTCGAAAATGTAACCTTTAATCTAAGAAAAGTTTCGCCAAGAGGACTTACTAAGTGAAAGGGCCCCTCTTTTGTGCTCATAAACTATAAGTTCTCATAAAATCGTCAGAAAAAATATATTTTTCGATAAAAACTGGATTATTATTTCCCTGTAGATATAAAGAACGGTACAGAACCTCTCCCATATAAGTGAATTTTGTGTCACGCAATGCAACCTTACAAAATTCAATTACGCAGTTCGTTTGCAATAATTTCACTCACTGTAGTTAGTAAATGTAGAAAAGCACCTAAACCCGTTACTTTTCAAAATCGTCTGTTATGTAAAAGTAATAACTATTATAAATCATTTAAAAGACATTGTTTAAATTCGGATAGATATTCAATTTTTCAAATTGTTTTGTGAGAAATACAACTTAATTTACAAATGATTTAATTCATAAATAATTCAATATAAGTTACACGAAATCTTAGTATTGATTTGGTTCACGATTTGGGACTCCATGCTTTTTCAGGAAGACACACTGTGGACTCCTCGGTTATGTTTATGAAAGTAGTAGAAAAGAAGAGGAATCATACCTGACAGTTAAGAGCAATTGTAGTACTTCCGTTCAGGTTTTTAATTCTGCAATGGAAAACCTTGGGAGGTATCAGGGCAAAATAAAATGGATCAGCTGCAATCTCAGCTGAAAAGCTGGGATGCTCGTAGTGATGTAGAGCGAGAAAAATTTGTTTGTTAAGCGACCTAGGCATGCAGATTGGTTTGCAATGTCATAGCACCAAATGATGAAGAGAAGCTGCTCCAAGCTCTCTAGGAAATTGGTGTCAAGCATCCTGTGTACAACTTTTGCGAAATGGCATTTGAAAACAAACTTTCATATTTCAAGGTTAAGATGCTCAAGGCAATGTGCAAGCATTTTGAAATCCCATCTAAATCAAGAGACACCAAGTGAGAAAAATTAGAAGACTTTAAGAGATTTACATTTACTTTAGCTTTCTGACTTTAAGAGATTTACATTTACTTTAGCTTTCTGAAACGCCAGGACTGAAGAATTGTACTGGGTGAAATATAAGTCCTTCTTCTTTGAGGTGGGGTTTGGGACTGCCTAAGCTGTGTGAAAAATTTGAAAACACTCTCATTTTTCAAGTTTAAGATACTCAGGGAAATGTGCAAGTATTTTGAAATCCCATCTAACTTAAGAGACACCAAAAGAGGTTTGGTGAAGAAACTATCACAAATGGTTGAAGATTGCTCATGCATGAAAGAATCATATGACCCAATGTAAGGTTTAAACAACTATTTTGGTAAATTGAAATTCCACAACTTCGTCAATGGTGTTATTTGTGACGGTTTGGATTATTTGGATACTGGATATTCTATCGCAAAAGATAGAACATGGTTCTATCTTCTGCAATCGTCTGCGATCACGATCGCAGGATCGCAGACGATCGCAGACGATCGTAGAAGTGTGTTTCCATATGATCGCAGACAATCGCAGAACTTTCTGAGATCTGCGATCTGCGATCGTCTGCGATCATATGGAAACCAGCCTTAAGGAAGGAACAGTCGGATGAGGTGAGAAAAATATGAAGACTTTAAAAGATTTAAATTCATTTGAGCTTTCTGAAATGCCAGGACCGAAAAAGGATACTGAATAAGATATGTCCTTCTTCTTTGAGATGGGTTTGGGACTGCCTAAGGTTGTGTGCGGAAAAAAATTAATTTATAGAAAACTCATCCGTGCACTTTTAGGCCTAGGTGCGGGAACGAATTGCGTATACTCTGAAGTCTTTGGAATTATTCTACCGGGTTGATTTACTATGTGTTCTGGTCAAATCTTAAATCGTAGACGACTATTCGGAAAGTTGTGGTTTTCGACGTTGACGAAGGATCAAGGAGGAACTTAAATAACATAGTTCAGTAAGCTAATGATTATTACTGACAAACCTGACGTTGCGTGGCACATGACTGAAGTTACCGAGTTATCAACACTACTTTGCGACCTGACGGCAGTACATAGGAGTCTTATCGTCTTGAATAAATTCCACCTTGTTTTTTTTGGGTTTTCATCCAATGTTTAATTTCTGGCGATTTTGTGAGGTTTCATAAATACCAGAAAAAAGGACCTTAAGATAAATTAGTTCACGTGGTAAAATATTATCTGATTACATGTCACATACATCAACTGGAAAGGACTTCACTTAAAGTAATACGGATACGAAAACTTCGACTTTGAAACTTAGTGTTATTCTGAATAAACCTGAATCTTGTCATAGCTATCCTGCCTCTGAAGTTTTTTCCCTTCCTCGTTAATTGAGTGATAACCAAAACAGTAGGTCGCCTAGAGCCTAGAGTCAACTTTCGGCGGCTGTATTTCTCTAGATGAATATTTTTCTTTATTTAATGTTGTTTTATCCTATTGCGAGTTTTAAAAAAGCTTTTATGGACTCAAATCACTCGTCAAACATAAGTTGTATAAGTTTCGTTTATATTTTAGACCGCTCCATGTGCATTGTTAAGTCGAATTTTCGAAAATGCACGCAATTTGTTGGCTGACTATTCTAGAAGTTCGCCGAAACCATAACATATTTTTATATTTCCATGCTCTTCTTCCCTATTTTAATCAGTCTAGATAAAAATATCCTGGTAAAGAAGTAGGAATTTTGCGCTGAGCCGAGATAAAAAGTTGCATATTTCCGGTCATGGCGGTAGCGTCAAAGTTTGAAGTGAAAAAAACCGTTGAAAAAACAAAATTCAAGATTGTGGTGTTGATTGCTAATAGGCCCCAAACTTGGTGTTTGTAATGTATTGTTAACTTGCAAATAATTTATGGTGATCGCCTTTCAGTACGTAATGTTCTTTAAGTAGCAAAGTGAATATTTTCAGTTGTCCACGTTATTTCGGTTAGGTTAAGTTAAGTAAGTAAGTAGTTCTGTATCTAGCAATTGAAGTTTTTTCACGTTCATTCAAAAAGTTTTTCTTTGCACACAACGAAGATCTTTACATAAAACTTTTTATTGTCTTATTACTTCAAGAATATTTTCACATAAACATGAAGTCTTTTTTGCTTTTATGATCATTGAAATAGTTTCTTACAGTGTTTTATCAACAAATCTTTACTTAACCCTTTAACTCCCAAGATCTCATTAGTAATTCTCCTTACTGTCTGGCATATAGTTCTTGTGATTTTAGTTTGGATAATTTGGTATTAGTTCAACCTAATTGATATTTTTCTTTACTCAACACATATCTGCTTGTCGATGTATAGACATTGTGACGAGAAATTCTTTCTTGGTCACTTATGGGTGTGAAAGGATTAAATTTTAAAACTGCCTTAACCCTTTAACTCCCAGGATCAGATTGTTAATTCTCCCCTCTAGCCGCTACACATTCCCTCGTAAACAAGTTACAACAATTTGTTGTTAGATCGAGACAAGAACTTCTACCTGATAAGTTTGAGTATTCTTATTACCTGTTTGCTGTATAATGTATGGATATTAATAGGTGATGTTACATTTTAAATCCTTACAATATCAATACAACATCAAGCAGACAAAAGATGAGAATACAGAAAAATATCAATATTTAGGGAATTATAACTTGATCCAATACCAATTTCTCCAATCTAACATCACGAGTCCTGTATGGCAGACAGTAAGGAGAATTACTAATGAGTTCGTGGGAGTTACAGAGTTAAAGGTTTAAGGGAAATTTTGTCTGACCTTGTGTAATCTTTTTCCCTTGCGAACTCTTCAAAGAAGCATGGGTGACCGGATAAAACCGCTGAAATTTCTAAGAGACGTTCTTCTTCCACCGGAAATGGACGTAGAAAAAGAAATGGTGGACGTTCTTCCAAAACTGCCGGCCCGAAAGGAGGATATCTTTATTACGTCATATCCAAGATCAGGTTCGTTTACAAGTGACAGGGGTCTTTTCTCTAAAATGTGAAACTCACTGTAAATCAACATATGATTTGTTTTGATGACTTCAGTCCACTGGGCAGGGGACATAATTGTGTTATTGGTTTGTACTTAATTGGTTCCTCTTCGTCACTATGACTACTCAGAGTAGTCCGAGTAGTCTTAACGGCACATGCATATGGCAAGGACAGTAACAACGAAGGGCACAATAATGACATGGCAAAAAGGCTACGTTTGGGTTCAGTTGAGATAGGAGCACAAAGTGATTGTGAAAGGAATTCCAGTTTGACTTGGGACGGAGTGAACCGTGAGAAAATACCTAGATCGCGGTTGGCCCGACCCCATTTCCCAAAGTTTTTTTTCTCGTTCGCCATTTCGTTTTATCCCTTACGTCTATAAGACAGTTTTTTTTTACAAGATTGCAGAGTAACAAGAACGACGATGATACAAGCAACACTTAAAATAAATGAAAGTAACAACCAGAAGAATTGTAACGAGAGGAATATATGGCCGTTGCGCAAGCCAACCTTCTCGCATGGTGTAGGTTGAGCTCGCTGTAAATTATCAGTTATGTATACAGGGCTTTTTTATCAGTACTTTTGAATTAAGTGAAATGATTCCCCACAAACGATTAAGCACTGACTCTCCAAGGTGCAGAAAATAAAGTCTTTGATAATTATTAGCCTCTCATCAATAGCAATGACTTATTTTTGTGTAATGCTTCCTCCTTTTAATAAAGACTGAAATGACGTCTCTGCCGCGATCCACACTTCTCCTTGCAAATGGCAGAATTGTACATTTTCTGGAACTTTGCAAGTTTTTTTTCGCAGGCTCCACTTGGACTTTTTCGCAGGTTCCATGATGGTAAAATAGACGACGTCGATTGGATGGAAGCCTTTTGTGGAAGGGATTATTCTGCCTATTAAATTCTTCCCTATATGATGACCCCGAGTAAGCTTAAAATTCAAAACTCATCTTCCTTATTGCTTCGTCCCTAAGGGCTCTGATGAAGCTGACAAGCCTCAATACATATATGT